TGGCCAGGTCATGGCCTTCTTCCATGAATGCCTTTTACAAAACACATGTTGAGCTCAAAATGGGCATTTTTACCAAATAATTTCGGACGAATGATTGAAATTACCCACTGAAAACATGCTAAGATATCATCCTTATGCATGATTAGGTCACAATAGGTCACATGAGGAAGTGCAAGGCCATATGAGGTCACCCAACGCCAAAGACCTATGTTGTCAGTAGCGGAGAGGCCAGATGAACGAGTGCAACGCGTGTAGCAGCCTTCTCATCCTATCTGTAAAGTTAAGAATGTATGATTTCATGTGCCATTTGTGCCATCATGTTTCATCATGATTTCAACGTGCCTGTTCTCAGCTTGCTTCAAATACATCTCTAATCGCCGAAGGGACTATGGATAATGTAGACAACAGCTGTTCAATCTTGAGTACCTGCAGATGTACAATGCACTATTTCTGACCTCAGAAAAGGGAACATTGTACCGGTCACATAGGCCCGGTTAGCACTTCAGAACTTTCACTTGAATAGGTTATGAATTTGGCCTAAATTGACCTCTCATGATCTCTAGGCTAGCGTAAAATGAAATTTTGTGTCTGGAATACTTTTTCCCACAGGTGTGCTGCAAGCTGCAATAAAAGAGATTTAGTTGAAAGCCCATTTTGAAAAAATGTCGTTCTTGTAGATTACTGATAGACACACTTTGAACGGTTTGACCCTTATGGAAGAACAGAAATGATCAAAACGGACTCTCCCACAGTCTTAGCTCTTATTTCTGTGTCCCCAACATATGCCTTGACGTAATGCATCGGTTTAACTGCACCTGTTGGAACGAGATTTTTGAATTCGTGACCTTTGGTGACCCCACATTTAATCTAAGGTCAATAATTTTGTGCGCATTCTTCATAATTTGATGTGAACTTCACAGCAGTATATTTGTTTTTTGCATACGGCGTCTGGAAGCTGGAGATCCAAGGAGCAAACCGACCGTCTCCCTCCCCCTCTCCCCGGTTAGGCGTGGTTGTCTCAGACCCTCGACCGGGTTAACTGGCTGCATCCATCCCCGTGAATACCTATAATAAAAACCTAGACCAGTTCGTGTCTTTCAGTATGAAACCAGTCTCCATGTTCCTCTGCATGAAATGTAGATGGTTCAATCCGAGCGTACCCGGGGTTCCAGCTTAGCGCCGGGGGGGGGGGGGGGGAGGACAGCATCTCTGCAGACCAAGTGCTACAAACACAAGTCTCAAACGCAAAGCAGGAAAGCTGTTTAGGCGCCTTTTTTAATTAAATGTGACGGGTTTTTATGCCGAAGGCAAGGTAACCAGACATCAAAAGAGATTAAACTCATAACTAAGAGAGATTTTCGTTTAACTCCGGTCCCCAAAATTTTCAAAATCTACACAATGATTCGTTTCGATGGCTGGATGGCCCTTTTTCTGAGCAGCACATAGACAAAATGTAATACCAGCGAATAAAATGCGTCCTTGCAAGTCGAATTGGGCACATTTCGTTTGCAACTTGAATCGATATCTAAGCCATCAGAGGTCATATTACATCCTTTCGTGGCAAGGAAATGGCAGTTTTGCTTTTTGGAGAAAGCTGGGGTGATTTTAGTTCAAAAGTGTTGCATGCGTGTATCACACAGCAGGAAACTTCTACATGCGCGACTTTTATTTTTTGGATCGGTCACTTTCCCATGTCCAATTTGGCCCTCCAACGGTGAGTTTATCGATCCAACCTTCTGGCGGCGAAATAAAGCAGGATATTAAAAATGAGAGACCAACGTCATATCATTTGTAAAGAGCGTCTCCACTCATTGTTTCACATGTCAAGAAACAAAGAAAATAAACTTGCAATGTCATATTCAGTTGATAGTTTCCTAGCTTTTTTCGGCATGCTTTTAGTCCCACGATGAGCCATCTCGTTTTACTTTGATCTACTTCTGCGCTTTTGGCTCTTTTGGCATTAATAAGCGATGTTTCATGCTCTACAGACTGCAGCCAGCGCAGGATTTTGTTTCGAAACCATCAAATGAAAGCAAAAATTAAGACCCGAAAAAACGCGACCCGTTTATTAGCCGTTATATTCGGAAGAGCCGTTGAAATGCGCTGACCTTCACTTGGACGTGAATACTCGATGAAACAGTTACGAGAACTTAGCGATCGGCACCTGACGACCGAACCGATAGCAACAATTGCCCGACAACATGCCTGATGCGAGTGCTGAGTTGCCACCAGCCAATCATTGCTGATAGCCTTGCGGTTATCAGCAATGATTGGCAGGTGGCAAAACGCCCGGCTGATAACCTTGCGGCTTTCAGCCGGGGGTTTTCGTGGCAGCCTTAAATAGTCCCGCAAAGCAACCCGTACTCTTTTATCCCGAGGTTGTACACGTTTAAGAGCGTCTGAAGCCATATAACACCGACCCTTCGCCGATTACCGGAACATGGTTGCGACGATCGACGCTAAACAAACTGATAATGATGTCCAATTTCAACATCTCCCGTAAAAAAAGAATGAGTAAATGTATGCCAGCTGGGCTGTACTTTCTTATTCGGTTGGTGGACGGCAACCTCAACTTCCTAACGATGGGAGAAAAGGGGTCAAATCCGGGAGAGAAAACTGTTGTGTAGTGTCTTTATGGTAAGGTTTTCCCTCTCTCAGCCCCCCCCCCCCCAGGGCTATTCTACGCAATTACAACGCCATGGTGGAGGCATATTCGCCACCAGATTACTCCAGCGTCTGGTCTGGGGCACGAGCCCATTTCCCAGGCAGAGATGAGGTCGGGCCCGCGATTTACATCGGCCGGGCCCCTGGGTCAGCGAGACCCCCGGCATCGGTCTGGGAATTACAGTGCCTGACGTGGGTCCCGTTTTGGCAAGGGTACCCAAATCGGCCAGGAGCAGTGTTCATGGTGTCCCCGAGAGGGTTCCGAAGTGTCCCTCGGGACCGACGATCAAGTATCAGACTGAAGAGCACAGCGAGCTGACGGAAGGTCATATTAAGGTCAGGGGCCCCCAGATATCAGTCAGAGGGCCTCTTGCACCGATGTGGAATACCATGGGACAATGGGACACCAGCGTGGGGCAACAAATACTCTTACATCGGTCAGAGAGCACCAACACCGAGCTATCGGCTCCGTGCCGGTCTGAGCCCTGGCGTCCCATTTCCCTGCATCGGGCAGGCCCCTACAGTGTTTAACAGAGGGCTTTATGTCAGTAAATCGCCTTGGTGTAACGTCGGCCGGGGTATCATTTCCTGAACAGGGGCAGGGACGGACGGGACCCTGAATGCTAGAGGGCCTCTTGTGCTGGGCGAGGCCCTCCGACAACGACAACGACGACGGCGACGATATGATAATTTACGACGAGAGGCTAAAAGAATGCAATGGAAACCCCAGTGACAGTCAGCGGCATTAGTTCAGAACGAGAGCTCTTGGTTCCATTTAAGCCAGGGACTCGTTTTGTGGAACTAGAGTCTCTGTGCCAATTACTGGACATCTCCGGCGGTAAGGGATGTGCGTGCGCCAATGAGAGCCCTGCCCGGTTCAGGGGCCTTCAGCGTCAAGATGGAGCCCCTGAACCAAGCATTTGGCATATATGAGACTCCAGGACTCGGACCAGCACGGATCCGATTGCTCGGTTTTGTTGGTATCTGTCCGATATCAGGGCCCGCGTGGTCCCACGGTATTCATCATAGTGTTCCGGTCTCACCCCCCCCCCCCCCCCCTCCTCCTCATGATCTCAGCAAGTGATTCAACCTGTTAGACCTTACGCCATCTTTACTTGATTTGCGCACGAGGTGTAAAACAAGTAAAGATGGAGGCATCAAAAGCTTTCCGAGAATTCGAGGCTTTTCTCCTCCCCAATCATTTTGAGAAATCGTCACCCACATCTATAGGTGTCCATCAGGATGCATCGGAATCTAAACAAGGTGTGATGGCGAATAATTTGTTTTGAGTTTCCCCTCGCACATGACCTCAGCAAGTGATCCAACCCGTTGGAACTTAAGGCATCAACACCTTTGTGCGCCTGGAACAGCCTGAAGTGACCACGTTGAACACGCTCGCACCAGCTTGGGAATGTCGCCCATTGACCATTTGAATAAGTCTTAGCAATTACGTACTAATATCCTCAGTAATTCGATGCTGGCAAATGTGACGGGACTTCATTCTAGTGAAAAATTGGTACATAGGCATGCAACTACTTGCAAAGAATACATTCCCTCCAAATGAGAAGATTTTTGGTACCGGGGGAAGTTGCTCCTATCCCAAGACAGGGGGGGGGGGGGGACGCAAGCCACCGCCCCCCCCCCCGTTCCCTTCGGTGGCATTGACCCTGGCGGAACGTATTCATCAAGTTTGTTGACTTGGGTATGTCTGCAGTTTTGAACGTGCCAGAACACAAATATTTACCGAAAGGTGAATTCACGCGAAACATCACTTGCGGCTGGATGTCTTGTGTAAAGTACTTAAAACGCCTACTATGTGAAATGAACTTGCAGCACAAAAGAGCCTTATCATTTATGGACTACAGATTAAAATGGCTGGAACGCGTGAAGAAAAGCGATTAGGCAATAAGATCAGTAACGTTCATGGGTTCAGTCTTCCCCCCCCCCCCTCCCAATGAAAGAGCAAAGTTCCACCCCTGCCCCTCTCCCCTGCTGGTGCATAACACAATTTATGGACAGCCCCAAAACCCCTTGTTGCGCCTCGCTCATGCTCCGTCAAACGCCTGCTGCCGTCGACGATTCGTAACGTAATGTATGTACGGCTCTTAACGCCTTCTGGTAGCCGCGTCCAAATCATAGCGCCCTGCTCTGGGCATGTTCGAAATTGTTCATTGAAAATAAATTGCGAGTAATGCAAAAAAACTTAATTTATGAAATATTTAAATAAAAATGTTGCTTTAAATTTCTTCTAATATCCCTAACTCATTACACCACATTTTTGTTACGAACTATATCACTATTATAGGAATCGGTCAAGAAATCGGGCATCAGCCATCTTTGTGAATCGCATACGGTGTGTGGTGGTGGAGGTGGTGCTGGGACGTGGCATTTGCGAACAGCTTGGTCGCCTCTGCGGAACTAAGGAAGCCCGCACACAAACAGCATGTCCCTCAAACGAATTAATAAGGTATGGTTCATCTGCCAGGCGACGAATGCTTGGTATCAGCTAAAAAAGTTGTTCTTTGCTCGACATTTTCACGCCTCGTGGTTGGTCAATATCCCTTCGATATATTGTTATGTCAGCCCTCGCCGTCATGTATGCATACTTGTAAGGACAGTACTTCATACTAGAATAGTGGATGCAGGATACAAGGTATATAGGGAATGATTTAGTGCCCAGTATGTGACTCATAGCAATTTCTTGATGATTTTCTCCTCAAGTGGTTCAGTTATGCTCATGTATCTTGGGCCAGGAACAACTTAAATTATATCATGTACTGAAGTGCCAGAATGAATGTGAATGGGTTAGGTGGTCCATAGATAATGACACCATGTCAGATGTTATTTTACAGTGCCCTAAATCTGACCCAAATTCATCCCCCTATGTAAATATAGCTCAGATGTGTGCAGTCAACACACACTTGGAAATCCATACAAGCTAGTTGTGGGGCACCTGGATACAAATTTGATCACATATGGTTGTCATTATATTCAGTTGTGTTTGACCATTGTGGTGTTACTTATGCTTCTAGTAAATGAATAACCTAAAAGTGACGACAGACCAAACTATCATTTGAACTTATCTTCAGCATTCATGAGGTAATCAGGTCATGCCAGTGCATCTTGGCAGAGCAGGCTGGGAAGTGCTGAAGATTTTAGCTGTGCGAGAACACCTGCGCTTTTTGCCATCTGATGGATGGCCTATGTGCTGCTGAGAACAAGTGATACCAGCTTTCTTCAACACACATTTCTGGTTTTCAAATGGTGCTGTGGTTTGTGCTGCGACTTGGGATGATCTTAGCATGTATTGTGTTGAATTTCCATGAGGGATTAACTAAAAGGCCAAGCCGAGCATTTTGCTATTTTGTTCACAGTAATATGTTAAACACGTAAGTGCTCTTTATCACAGAAATTCCTACTACCAGAAGTGTGATGAGGCTTAGCTACCTTTCCACTTATTAACAGCAGAAATATGCTAGGCAGTCAGTATGTTTTGCAGGGGTAGGGCTCAAAATAGGTAGTAGGGCATAGGTAACATGAGTTTATATTTTTTCACCCATAGAGGAATTGTTTCAAGATCATCCCTGTCTGGTGTGATTGTGGGCACTGGTGTGTTAAGTTGTCTTTATACTATACATACAATGAGGGTAATAGTCTGAACAATTATGGCAGCTGTCTTGATCCATCAATTAACTAGTGTTATTTTCTTCTGTAGAGATCTTATTATTTAAAATAAGTAGGTCCAGTGGTAGTAGTAGGTCCAAATAGTAGGTCCGGGGACCCTCTGACAGCACTTAACTTGTGCTGGTAGAAACACTCAGGTCACAGGTGTGGTGTTTGGTTGCAGCCGGAATGCTGTTCATTTAAGTTTCAACTTATTTGATTATTAATACAATAAAACCATTCTGGATGAAATTTGGCTAAAAGTAACATAGCAAAATGATCGCTTCTCAATCTGCCAAGCACATGGACAAAGACAGAGAAGGGTTAGTTTGCTCACTGTTTGCTCTGGAAAGACATAGTTTGTATCACAATGAAGGCAATGTTGCAACCAAGAGTTGCAGGCAAAACTAGTAATGGCCAAGTAGCTTGTGTTCCTGCCACATGACAAGTTGTGTTCATAATGCAAATATATCATTCTCCCCATGCTCTTGTGGATTTATATTTTTGTAAAACATGGATCATGTACTTTGAAGGCCCTGAAAATTTGATTGTCTCCATTCCTGAGTAAGCTACTGATGCAATCAACCATTTGTGGGAATCCTAACCCCTGAGGCCAGTTTGCTTTTCCAACAGGTTTTTAGGGCAAAATGTGTGTATTGCCTCCATCTAGTTGTGTAATATTTATAGCATGAACTGCACTATTTCTTCATTGGCAAAGCATGCACAATATGGGGCTTACAAGATGTGTGATCTAGCAACTTTGTGGATGTGATTCAGCCACAAATGCCATGCTTTATTGTACTTTTCTTTGAGGAACAAATCCTAGGAAACCTGCCAATTTCTATGGCCAACTATGTTAGAGAGCAGGCAGCATGGCAGGGCTCTTCATGTCATCCTGTTGGGGCTTTGGTGTGCTGTTATCATGAAGCAGTGCTTTTGTGGACACGGCTTGTCGTCCTTGTCATTGGGGTAACACACTCAGTTGCTGAGGGTGCATGGGGTAGCCTACTTCCCACTGGTAGGTCGGTCAAGATCTGCATTCATGTAGGTGGGCTTTTTGTAAGCAATATGTTGGGGCTGTATCTTTGGCTTTGGAACATACTCTATGTGTTGTCTGGGATAGTGTGTGAACAGTATGGTGGTTAAAAGACAGCTTTGTTTAGGAGATAGCCAGCAAAGGTTTATTCCTGTGCTTTGTTTTATGTTATGAACAATAATAGATATTTGATGTTAGTATGTATAGAATCCATGAAGGTTCCAAAAGTTCTTTGCCTTTTTTGGGGTTGCAGTCTCCATTCTCAAATGTAAATGTGACATAAAGCCAACACTACCGCCATCCTTGTAACTGACCTTGTGGTTGGAACGGTCCGATGACAAGACTAAATGGCGTGCAGTTATGCGTGTGTGCGGGCTGCGTGCGTGCCGTATACGTGCGCGCGTGCGTGCTGTGTGCGTGCGTGCGTGCGTGCGTGCGTGCGTGCGTGCGTGCGTGCGTGCGTGCGTCCCGTGTACGTGCGTGAATGCGTGTGTGCTGCGTATGTGCGTGCGTGCTTGCTTGCATGACTGCAAGCATGCCTGTGCATGCGTCTGTGGGTGTGCAAGTGTGTTTGTAAATGCGTGTTTAGCTGTGGGTCTACTCCCATTTATTGTTATTTAAGGCCGGGATCCCCCCAGGCCATGCCATATCATGCTTTTGGCTGGTTTGATATCCATGGCAGCAGATTCCCCACATTAGAAGGCTGGATAAAAGCTTAGATGTTCGGAGAAGTGCATATTAAGCATTGTAGTGAAAGGAAGTTGGTGGTGATGAATAAGTGGTTAAAGAAAGAAGGGCTCGGATCTTTTGAATGGAAGGATTTTTAGTACCAAAACCCATGCTTCGCATTGCTTGTTTCATGAGCCCTGGCTCCCACCATCCCTCCGTGGTCACGTTCCGTCTTGCCTCCTCTAACGTCACACGACCTTAAGCGCGGCTGCTGCCACTGGTCGCAAGCCACTTCCGTCAAGGGTGAATAGTGAGCCCCCGAAGCGTCTCGAACCCACCCCGCGACGGGTGGTCGGTTCGAAAGGCAGGCCTCCTGACCTGAGCTACCGCGACGGCTGATGTGGACATTTTTAAAACGATTTCTTTGCTGTAGGTTCTTGCCAGTGCACATTTCAAGACAAATGCCTGTAAGACGTTCTGGAAAGTTCAGTTGTCAACGCTTACAACAGGCTTGGGCTGCAGCAATTCTGTTTTTTTTTCTACCCAGGGAAAGAGGCGCACTGGCTGGAGGTGGAGCTGCGGCTTCTCGACCACCCTTGGGGTTTAACAGGCACTTACCTTACCCCCATTGGGATTTAACAGGCACTTACCTTACCTCCCTTGTGATTTAACAGGCGCTCACCTGCCACCATTAGAACTACACGCACACCCACCTTCCCGCCCGGCAAGAATGACTTGTGAACTGCTTTCCGTTTGCAAAGGCGGGCGGGCGGTTATGAGAGTTTGCCAGCCGTATTTGCGAAGGTGGCCGACGCACGCCACGACGTGCATCTTCGGAGAAGTGCTACAACGTACAGACGTGTGCCGTACACTTTCGGGGGGGGGGGGGGGGGGAGGGGGTTGCCGGGTTCTAATTATTGATGTTAACGCACTTCGGAGAGCAGAAGCTGTTTTGAAGCACGTCGTGCTGGGGTATGAAGTCGGGCCCGGTTTTGATTATTGCTGTGAACGTGCTTTGGAGAGCAGAGCTGTTTTGAAGCACGTCGTACTGGGGTATGAAGTCGGGCCTGGTTAGATCTGGCCAGTAACCAGGTAACCACAGGTCTATCTCCTACCGGGCGCACCTCTCGCGGTGGTGGGACGGGCATTGTAGCGGCCGCTGTTTGCTGCGGGCGGTAAACAAGTGGATTCGCCAGAAGCGTTTGAGGTATTGACCAATGGACGTTTGCTGCCAAGCGACGTGCAACATGGAGGTTGGACGATGAGATGGTTGTCATCAGCGCGTCACCACCGTTTTGTCCATTGATGCTTAATAGGCACTTTACGGAACATTCGGGGTTTTATCCCAGGTCTTATGTTGTGATAATGCCCTTGCCATTGTTCTCAAACCATGAAGACGTGACATGACTTATTCTGGAGGGGTCCCCGCCCCCTTAAGTGCAGAAGGATGGTCCGTATTATCCTTTATTTAGGCGCACACGCACGCACGCGTACGCAAACGGACACCGACACACAAACGTACATGCACACGCACGTACATGCTGGGCGCAAAATGGCCGTAGTAATCAGCGCAGCCTAAAACCCCAATCAACACCAAGTACAGGCACACGTTCACACACCCGAAGGTACACACGTAAAGACAATGTATCTCTGTGGCGGGTTCATCCATCCGCAAGGTCAGTTACAATGAAGTAGTAATGCTAGCTGCCCACTACACGCTGCGGTTTTGACGGAGACCTTGATGCGAAAAACGTGAAGCGGTTTGAAGCGGTTCATTGAAGCTGTTTGTGCTTCATGGGTCGCATAAAGTGTGACCTGAAATCTTCGCAGTAATGGATGAGATAAACCACGGAACGGAAACATTCCTCTGCAGGCTATTTCCTAACCATCGTTTTTTTAACCACAGAAGTGGATGAACCTGAATTTGACATCAAAACTTCCAGCGTTGAGCTGTGAAAATAAGATGACCGTTGTAGGGAGAGGTTGTCCTTTGATGATGGTTTCTTCATAATAATTATACTTAGTTGCCTGCGTGCGATTTGTGTATGTTTTGTGCCACACGAGAATACACACATCCTGCATAAGCAATGCTCCGACGGGTTCACTATTTTTTTTGTCTTCCTGACCTCACCTATGACCTTTGGCCGCCGCTGTGTGCCCGAATCCACCGCGCGCATCCACACGTGCCATTGACAGAAGTCTCTCTCCCACACACACCCTCACACATTCTTCACAACATGCGCCCCCACACGTGCCATTGACAAAAGTCTCCCTCTGCGTTCAGGAGCTGCAGGACCTGGGCCGGGATCCGCCCGCCCAGTGCTCGGCGGGTCCAGTGGGCGACGACTGTGAGTGTTGACGCCGCTGCCCGGCGCCGCCCGCGCCCTGGTGGCGGCGTCGGCGGGCAGCGCTGCTGGAGGAGGGGTGGGCTGGTGGGCCCGGTTACTCGGGCGCGCTGCTGCGCGGGTTCCGCCCGCATGGGGTAGAGAGGGGGGGGGGGGGGGGAGGGGATGCATTGGTGGTGGGCGTATATGGGTGATGCAGCGTCATATACATGGCTGCATGAACAGCAGTAATGTTTTAAATGCAGAAGACCAAACAAGCGTTTTACGGTCCAGAAACGTAGGGGAGGGGAGACTCAAAACACCACTTTATTAGTTTGGAGCGTGCAGGCCTGTTTGTTTATTTGTTTTCCAGCAGCGCGGCGCCATCGTCCCGAACCCTTTTGCGGAGTGCAAGCGACTGGAGAGGTCGTTTAAGCGATCGGGTGGCATGGCTTTACCGGGATTCGAACCCAGGTCCATGCCGACCAGCGGCCGCACGGCGCTTGCCCCGGATGCCCTCGCCGTCCCGCTTGACGCAGCCAAACATCCGGCCGATGTGGCGCCAGCGATCTGTTGCTGATACTCCGCCTCAAGCTGTAACAGGCGGCGGTGTTTGTGGACAGTCTCTCAACGTGTCTCCCGGCTGCGTTCTTGACCCGGCTCTTCCATTGGTCGTGTTATCCTGGCTGTGTTATTTGCCAGGCTCTTGCGTGGGTCACAGTGTTCCGGCTGTGTTGTTGACCCGGCTCTTCTGTGGGCCACAGTGTTTCGGCTGTGTTGTTGACCCGGGTCTTCCGTGGGTCACATCGTCCCGGTTGTGTTATATACCCGGCTCTTTCGTGAGTCACTGCCCTAGCTGTGTTGGTGACCCGGCTCCTCCGTGGTTTTGCAGTGTCCCGATAGTGCTATTTACCCGACTCTCCGTGGGCCAGTGTTTCGGCTGTGTTGTTGACCCGGCTGTTCCGTGTGTTGCAGTGTTTCATTGGCAGGCGACCATCATGGGTCCGCCCGACAGTCCATACCAGGGAGGCGTGTTCTTCCTCACAATCCACTTCCCCACAGACTACCCCTTCAAACCCCCGAAGGTGAGCCAGCCGTCCCGGCCCGGCCCGGACCGGCCCAGCCCAGCCCGACCCGGCCCGCTCTGGCGCCGGCTCGTCGGCTACCGCTGCCGCGGGTTGTTGGGCAACGTAACGTCGGAAACTCGAGTCGCTGCCGACGGGTGGGGCTTTCGACGTGATGTCTGAAGCTGCTGATGTGAAGTGCCTCTTTTAAGTGTCTGTGAAACGCAAGTCAGAAAAGCCGCGAGCGAGACGACGGCAGACAGCGTTTGACGAGATGACCACCCGCTACACGCGCCGCTCGTGCCTCGCCGCCGCCTCCTCCGCCGTGGCTGCCGTGGCCGTCCTCACACCGACCTGCGTGCCCACAGGTGGCGTTCACCACGCGCATCTACCACCCCAACATCAACAGCAACGGCAGCATATGTCTGGACATCCTACGGTCACAATGGTCGCCGGCGCTTACCATTTCAAAAGGTGGGTGCGACGGCGGCGGCTGCGGCGGCCCGCGTGTCGCCAGCGCCCCGGCGAGCCGCGGCACGCGCGCGGCTGCCGGCCGGCGCCGCCGGAGCTGGCGGCGGGTCGGCGGCGCGAGCGAGTTCGAGACGCGGACCGGCCGGCGCCGTCGTCGGCCCGTGTCCGGAGCACGCGCCGGCGGTGGCGCCCGGCAGTCTCCCGAAAGGCGGCGCGTTTTTGCCCGCGCCGCGGCGAGAAACACGTGCGTTTCGGCTGGCGGCGCTGCCGTGCGCGCAGGCGCTTCTGCAGGACGCCGCGTCGCCGCAGCTGGTCAGCTTTTGCCGGCAGCTGGCAGATAACGGCAGATCATGTCGTCTGGTGGCCATCGGCGGTGTTTGGGATTTCTTCCCTATCTGCCAGTGTCAATGTATCAGTCAGTGTCGGTGCGTCATAGTCACTGTGTCAGTGAAATAGTGGTAGTATGTCGGTCAGTGTGTCTACCGGTACGCCTGTCAGTGTGTCAGAGTGAATGTCCCAGTATCAGTGTGTCGGTCAGTGTTAGCGTGCATCAAAGTCGGTGTGTCACCTGGTCGTTATCATACCCGCCCCTTGACAGCAGGTGGGCGACGGCGAATGCGTGCTTTGTTTGCAACAGAGATTCGTGGGCACCGCTACGTCACAAAGAACAGCAGGCTTAGCCACGTAGAAAGATGCACGAGCATTGAGCGATAGGAGAAGCGCTACGCCGGCCGGCCGCGGTCTGCCGGGGAGGGTCGCCGAGAGCGCGGCCGTCGGGCAGAGTCTGCGGGCCGGTGGGAGGGTGCCGGCGGCCGGCCGGCTGGACGCCTGCCGCTGGGCGGTAGCTCCGATGCCACGCACACGTGGCGGCGGCGGTGGTGGCGGGTGCGCGCGCGTTCAGACATGTCCGCCCCCCCCCCGCCCTCCGCTTCGCCGCGCGCGGGCGCTGTTATCAGAGTGCCTCCCCCCCGGTAGGCGGGGGCGCGGGATGTCTCCGGTCCTTAAGAACGCCTGCCGTCGTTAGCCCGGATTTAGATGCCGCGGAGATGCCCTCTATGACTGTATTGTGTTCATGACGTTCGCCTCGATTTGTCACCGCAAACCGCTCGCAGAAAAGCACGCGATAGGAGGTTGTGCTATCGGCGGCGGATTCCGGTTGCTCATCGTTAGCTGCGGCCTGTGACGTCACACCGCAGGACAATGCTGCCGGTGACGTCACGTCGCGTCGGCCGGTAAATGGCCGGAGCTCGTTCGACGCCCGGCTCTGCGATGGCCGGCGGCCGGCGGGTGTGGGCCGGCGCGCGGGTCTCGCGCGCCCCGCTCTCGCGGTCGCAGGGCGACGGCGCCGGCTCACCGCAGCGCCGCCGTGCCGGTGATCGCGCTTTTCCGCGCGCCGTGTCCTGAACGGACGGGTTTCGGCGTGCTGCGCGGCGGTGCCGCGCGGCACGTGGCCGGGCGCGTGGCCGGACCCGCAACGGTCGGCGCCGGCGGCAGCCTGCGAGAACGGCGGGTGTCAGCAGGTCCGCGGTTGACCCGCGGGTCGGCGCCGAAGCCCGCCGGACCCTCGGGGCGGCGCCGGCGCCTTTTTTGTCCGGCTGGCCGCCTCGCCGCTGAGTCATCGCCCGGCCGGGGCGTGACGTCACGCACAGCACCCAGCCGACGGCCTAAAGAGCTGCAGTTTTGGAGTCCGGCCCGTTCCGAGCGCTATGTGCTGGAGCTATACCAAAGTCATGCGCCGTGTCGGGGCGTGGCGCCTTGGCTGAACATTATTTGGTGCTGTCTGGTGGCATGGCCGGCGTTTAGCCTGTCGGATTTTTCCGTGCCTTTGTCGGCGTGGTGACGTTTGGATGCCGGTCCCCAATTTGCTGTAGTCCCCGGCGCTCGACCGCGCCGGCCAGCTGAGCGTCTCGCCGTTTGATCGCCCCGCCTCAGGCCGCTGGTGACGTCACGGCGCGGCGCGGCCTTCTGATTGGTGGCGGCGAGCACGGTTTTGCGCGTTCGGCTGGATCGTGATCACTGCGCTCAGCCCGCGTGTAGCTCGCGGGAATCGTCTGAATCGCGCGAGGCGCGTCGCCAGTAACGTGCGCGACCGGAGGGCGCGGGGAGCTCCGATCTCTCCCGGCTCCAGCGTGGCGACTCGTCGGGCTTGAGATTACCGTTTGATATCGGACTGTTTGTGCGTCAGTTTCGGCCTGGCCCCGCGAGTGCGCCCGCTGCGCTGCGGTTCTATCGACTTGGCCTCCCACACGATTGGTTTTGATCCCCGCAAGACGGCAGCTGGCGCACACGCCGTCACTACACGAAGTGAATTCATGACTGAATTGAATGCATTCCATGTAAATGCCGATACCCATCTCCGATTCCGAAACATGCATGTACGTGTCGGCCCCGTCTTTGATTTAGGATCGTTTCGGCTGCGCAAGGTGAATACATTTCGAGGTGAATCAGCGCTGTAACCATCTTCCCACATGACGTCACCGGGGTTTGTCCGGCACGCGAAGTCTCCAGCGATTCTGGGTGACGTCACCGTCATGACGTGTCATGGTGTGACGTTGCATTTCTGGGCACCGAGGAATCGGTGGCGTTCTTTTGTGACGTCATTCGCGCTTCAGACACATTCCGCGCGTCTCTGCGGATTGATTCCGACGTTGTTTGTGCCTGGTTTGTGCCGTGATTCATGTGACTGGGTCTGTGGGCTTACAACGGCCCTGGTCGCGGATAGGGGGTGGCCCTCCTCGCGCGGATGAGGGAGGGATGGCCGGCCCTCTCCGCGCGGTGGGGGACGGGCGGCCGGCTCTCCTCGCGCAGGCGGGCGCGACCGAAGTATTTCGCCTCGTCTCTCTGTCTGGCCTCTGAGAATGCGAGCGCTCCGAGGGCGGCCGCGTTCGCGGAAGAGCCGGCGAGCGGGCGTGATCAGAGCGCGCTCCGAGCAGGAGGAGCTCATCGTTGTGGGCGTCGACGTCTCATGTACCGTGGACACGTACCGCTGTCACGGCATGTGCCGCTGACACGCACCGCTGTCACGGGTACCGCTGACATGTACCGCTGTCACGGCATGTACCGCTGTCATGGCATGTACCGCTGCCACGTACCGCCGTCACGGGTACCGCTGACATGTACCGCTGTCACGGCATGTACCGCTGACACGTACCACTGTCATGACAGGTACCACTGATATGTACCACTGTCATGCTTCGCCTCACCAGTGGTACTGCGACGTTGCACACGCACATCAGTGGCGCTTCACACCGACCTGCTGGGAGACTCCGGAGAACACTGATGGGTGCTGCCGGCCTGATGTATTAGCACGCCGCAAGCCCAGCCGCGTGACGTCATACTGTCGCTTGTGTCGAGCGCTGGTGTGATGTGGCCTTGGCGTTGTCCAACCACCTCGGGCCTTTTCGTCCAGCGTCCAACCACCACCTCGGGCCTTTTCATTCATGGTGTTCGTTTTCTGTTCGCCACCCCGGGGAAATGGTGGGTTGGCGCTGCGTTACGTGAGGAATTGAATGAAACGCTTGAGACCGATGCCGATATCCGATGCTGATGCCGATATCCGCTGTCGATGCCGATGCCGATGCCGATGCCGATGCCGATGCCGATGCGGATTTCTCGGTTTAATGAGCCGACTCAGAATGCTGTAGTGGTACATTGGCGGATTTGATCTTGCAATTCGTCCACATAATTACATGTGTACATACATGGCTTGATTGGTGTGAACGTGATGCTGCACGTCTCTAAATTTCTGCATAATTGGCCTTGAAGTTTGTCAGAAGCGTTGCACGTGGCCGGTACTTGCGTGAACCGATGTTTCTGTTTTATATGATGCAGGCTGTGACCCGTTGTAGAGCGTGATTTATTTCGTGAAGCATCCTCCGTCTGTATGCTGAGGAAACGCCCCGACATAGAATCAGCTTTTTAAGAGAGGCTGCAGCTGACTCCCCCCGCAGTTACACGATACGAGCGACCATTTGTATCCCGGGATCTACCAGGCCTTTTTACCAGCAACTGGCATCAAATCGTGAAAAAGCCGCGCGTTTCTGGAGGCCAGGCCTGAGACACTGGTACGCCACAGACCATTCGTTGCCATTTCCGGACCAGCCGTCTACAAGACGCGGCCACACGGACGGCGGTCCACTCGGGGACCAGGCGGCGGCCGCTTAGCCGGGGTCAGGCCAGGGTCAGGTGGCCGCCGGGCGCGCCGCGGCGTGGGCGTCAGAGGCGCGTCCAGGAGCGCTGCCCTGGGGGAGTCTGCCTGCCGCGGGCGTGGTCTCCGGGGGCGCGGAAGCGTGGGACAGGTGCGTGTGCTGTTAGCCCGCTATACCGTGGCGCTCATGCCAAACTGTGCGCACGTGTACGTGGGTGCGTTCGTGCGTGTCCGGGGGGGGGGGGGAGGGCATGGCTGCCGCTCGTCCCGGCTCGTGCATGCCCAGCATTCAGCCACCGTCCGTCCGTGTCGTGTCGTGATGGGAGGTGGGCCCGGTCCTGCTGGGGGCTCTCGGCCAGCCGGAGCGCTGCTGGGTCCGGCGCTGGGCAAGCGACTCGCCGCCGCTGCAGCCGCCGCCGGCCGCGCCGGCTCCGGAGCCTTCCGACAGCGCTCCCCGCCGCTGAGTGACTCAGAGCCGGCCGTTTAGAGCAGCGGGATTCGGGACCGGTGCGCGCCCGGTGGCCTCGCCGGCGTGCGGCGGGTGGCCGGGCGGAGAGAGCGGGCGTCGCGGCGAGAGCAGCGGCACATCCATCGGTGGTGGACGGTGGGGCGGGTGACGGCTCTCCGCGACGCGAGCAACCCCAGCCCCACCCCCACCCGAATCCCCGCCCGTCAGAGCCGCAGGAATGGACACACGACGGGCCGCTCGCCGGTAGCTGCGGAGACGAGCTCCGCTGGTGCAGCGTTGTGGCTGGGGTGTCATCGTCATTGGCTTGCCTCCCGCTTCCAAGGAAGGCGACAAATGTCCGGACATCCCCAGCTGGGTGCGCCCGCGGCGGACGTCCGGCCTCTGACT